CTGAAAGAAGGAAAGTAGTTAGGAAAGGAGAGTGAAGCGCGGCTAGATGTATAGTGGGGGTGGGAAGAGGTTGATCTGGATATATACTTGGGTGGGCATACACTTATTCTAAAGGAAAGATAGCTATGATGATTTACTGCATATCACATTCAGTCCAGATCACCCCTAAACGCAATATAGTAATGTATATATCTGGCAGAGCAGACAGGAATCGATACATCTGTTACAAAATTCTCAGTCGGAACACGTAAACGTTTACGACTGGCTGGGGGGCCCTACAAATATATAAAATTCTTTACTCAAACAAACAAACAAACAAACAAACAAATAAACAAACCAAAAAAAAACCGCGTCTAAAAGAACGTCTCCCAGACTAAATCATCATTTCAAAAACAACACAACTGCTACCACTTGTTCTGTTTCCCCCTTTTGTTTTTCTTATTCCATAAAAAATAACTTTGTTTTTCTTATCCCATAAAAAAATTAAATAGATTGACTAATCCCTCATGTCGTCTTTTACTCTGATGTTGGACCAACGATCATATCAGTAAGTGGGTGGTTGGCGGGTGCTCTGGTGTGGTTTGCTCCTTCTTTCCTATCAAACACCTATCGTCCTTATCTCTCCTTCTTCTTCTGTGTGTATGTTACTCTCTTGTAACACATAATATATTCTGAGGCACTTATATCACCTTATTGTGTTGCAAGTGCCGTAAAACTCTTACTAAACGTGGGTAGTTAGCGGGTGCTCTGGTGTGGTTTGCTCCTTCTTTCCCATCAAACACCTATCGTCCTTACCTCTCCTCCTTCTTTTTGTGCATGTTACTCTCTTGTAACACATCTATTCTTCGGCACTTATATCACCTTATTGTGTTGCAAACGCCGTAAAACCTCTACTAAAACTAAAAAACTAACAAATGCCGTAAAACTCTTACTAAAACTAAAAATAAGAGTGAACGAGACGTAATATTTTGCAGTTGAGTCACCCTTCCTTCCTCTCTCCTCCTACAGCCGTGACTCTATCAGTGTCTCAGGACACTTTCTACTTCAACATCAAGCCACAGAGTAAAGACGCCACGGAGAGCTCCGAGACGCGCCTGTACTGTGACGTCAGCGAACGACGTCACATCTTCTTCCAGTGGATGCAGAGAGGGAAACCAGTGGTCAACACGACCCGGAAGTACCAGGAGGACAGCAACCTCCGGATTCTCCGAGTCCTGCGAGACGAGGACGAGGGCCCGTTCCAGTGTATCGCTACCAACTACACCACTGGATTTTCCTTACAGAGCCAGGAGGCCTTCTTGAACATCTTATGTGAGTACAAGTTAGCTAGCAATATTACACAATGCCATGAGTGCTGACTTTCTAATACTTTTTTCTGTTTTTCTGACTGTCTGTTTGTCTGTCTGACTGTCTGTTTGTCTGTCTGTCTGTCTGTCTGTCTGTCTGTCTGTCTGTCTGTCTGTCTGTCTGT